TTTTTTTTTTTTTTTTTTTTTTTTTTTTTTTTTTTTTTTTTTTTTGTTTTTTTTTTTTTTTTTTTTTTTTTTTTTTTTTTTTTTTTTTTTTTTTTTTTTTTTTTTTTTTGTTACAAAGGCTTTTTTCCCCGAGTCAATCAATCTTGCGAGCAGCTACAACCTGCACAAAATTTTCCCACTTTAGGATAAAAATAGACCGAGTGGCCATAAGTTCACTGTCCTTTTTAACTACCCCCATTCTCTCGAACTCGTTTTTTTTTTTTTTTTTTACTTGCTGCGAAGGAGGCTCAAATGATTTTTTTTATATATTAAACATGTTTACACTTTCAATCGGTATCCAGAAAAATCAAAATCATCGATAAAACTGACTCGAGACCATGAAAGTTTCCACTCCACTTTCCTTACCATCTTGTCAGATATTTGTAATGAAAAAAATACCATAGCGTGAAAAAAAAGTGATACACTACTATACACTATCTCCCGGAAATGTTAGTACCGTCAAAAAGTATAAACAAAAAATCGGTGCACTGAATAACTTTTCAAATGCTTTCGTTAAAAAAAAAAAAAAAAAAAAAAAAAAAAAAAAAAAAAAAGTAATGGACTCGAGACATTACTTGCAAACGTCGTTCGTGTGAAAATCGTCGACTGGCGTGTCCGCGTTCACTGCAAGATGCAGCAGAGTCTGGCCATCTTTTAGTCTCATTTGAAGGGCGCACAATTGATGAACCAAAAAACGTGCCCTTTTCACGTCCACCTCGTCGTATTCTTTTTTATTCAAGGTCATCAATTGAGTCAATATTGTCAAGATGTACAACGTTATCGTTATGTTTGACTCGATTTCGTCCTTTAAAATACGGTACAAAACATTTGATATTAGATTAATTCGTTTGACCACTGATATGTATATTTTTTTTAATGTACACTTACGACAATCGATTGTTCGCTGTCCTCTTTGGGATCGGGTTCGGTCAGTTTTTTCGTGTTCCTGCCCAACTCGACAACTATGGCCTCCAAAACTTGCAATACTTGGTGCAACCTCAGCTCGACCCCGACATGGATCATTTGTGAAAACACCTGTAACGTTCGGGCGTATATTTTCAAAACCACGTGTCATTCCGGAATATGTATCCGTGTTTTGTTCGCACAATCGAATACGTATATACACACTCACCTGCGCGAATCGCAATAAATCTTTAGTGATCCACATGTTGTTCATTTGTCGTAAATTCAAGGCGTGCAACCACAAATCTATACACCTATCAAATCTCGCGCTGTCCGCGAAAACTGCGCCTCTGTAAATCACAGGCTGTGGCACGTCTGGATTTTGCTTTCCTTAAATTAATCAACGATTCCGTAAATGCCATTATAATTGTTTTTTTTTTTTTTTTTTTTTTTTTAAACTACCATTAATTTTTTTTTACTGTAAGCGTAAGATAATAACAGTTGTTTAACGAGGCTTTAATTTGAGTTAATTATTCTTTGAGGAGAACGGCTGCTTTAAAATTTTTTCTTTTTTTTTCAATAATCCCCAACAAAACAGCGCGGATGATTCTTACTCCACGGGTGGCACTTTTTCTTTAAAAATTTCATGAACAGCCCTTTTTATTGAATGACTTGGACGTACCACTTTTTTTTCAGTTGAGCAAAAACAACTCGAAATAATTCTTGATAATAACAGATTCTGGTGTTGAATGTAAAATTTTTTTTTCAAAGGATGGAGACTTTCTTGTGCGCGATTCTCATGGTTTGCCAGGAAATTACGTTCTTACGGGTATGAAACATAGAAATCCAAGACATTTAATGCTCATAGACTCCACCACAAGAAGTGTAAGTATATACTTACATCTGATCTTAAACTTAGTTTGGCTTACGACGAATCGTGAAAACAATTTTTTTTTTTTAATTATTTCAGATAAGAACTAAGGATCGAATATTTGAGAGTGTGAGTCACCTGATTTGTTATCACACCGAGAAATCAATACCGATAGTTTTGGATAATGGTGCACTGTTACTCAGTAATCCCGTGCCGAGACGGATAGTACTTTAAAATTTAACGACTTTTAAATGTTACTTTTAAAACCAATTATTTTACATCACGTTCGTGCATTTTATAATTGAAA